TCTCCCTCGTTCTTTCCCTAACACTCTGCCTGTTAGTCTGTCAAATTAGGAGTGACTGGTTTCCATGTACTTGTCCATCTTTCAATTTATCTGACTCTCCGAGTAACTGTTTGCTTGTCTATCTGTGTGCCAGTCTATCTGTCTATTTATCTATCTGACTAGCTGTGTATTTGTCTGTTTCTTTGTCGGTCTGTCTATTGCTCTATTCTTTCTCCCAACTTCCCATGTCCATTCTGCCTTACAAAAAATACATTGAAGCTAATAATGTGACGTAACGATCTAATAAAAGTATATATTTGTAAAAGACATCCACGAGGCCCTGGTGTTTCAAAGAGATAACAATAAAAAAAATCTACCCAAATTCAGAATCAGAAAAGAAATGAAAAATGATTAAGATTAATAGAAATTCTTAAATCAGTCTTACGATTGTACTTGCTTTAGCCTTTTTATGGGGGTGGGGGGAGTGATCATAAAAATAAAAATGTCATAAAATATAATTTTATATGGCATGACATAACACTTTATATGGCTGCTAGTGAGACTTTCCTCATAATCATTAATAGCTCTTCAAATAAGATTCAGATGTTATGTATGCTACTTTATGAAAAGAGTGAATTTCTTTTTATCTTTTTCTAATAGCGGAGTCACCCCTGATCAATCCTCCAAAGCATAAAGAAACTGGGAAAAGTGTTCAGGTAAGATGAAGAACAAAACCTGCCCATCAGAAAGTACTGATAAGTGTTCCTCCTTGATGCAAGACCCCCTCCACGGATTTTGTTACTGTGTGAATGATGATAATGCACAAACCTGTTTCCTTGTCTCGAAATGGAGAGAAAATTGTCTGCACTCTCGTCCGTGTTCTATGATGCTAAAGACAGGGTTCTTTGCCGCAGCGGTTCATGCGGGAACTACAAAAGAATGAACGATTGGATAAATAAAAATACTGAGAAAAAAATTACTAGTTTCCATGATATTTCTCCTTTGTTTATATTTATTTTCCTTTTCTTTTCTTTCCTTACGACGATGTTTAATCAAGCCAGTCTAACATTAACACATAAATAATCACATAAAAAGACTGAAATAAGGAACTGACATGACACTGTCCTTTCGATCTCTGCAACTGATCGACAAAAGGAACTTCTTGCAGATCATTTTCTACCGGAGAATTTGCCCGAGAAAATGTTGCAGCCTGGAATCAGGAGCAAAACGGTGCGACAAAGAAGCTTTCGATCTATCAGCTGGATATATAATCTAGAGACGATACAGCTCGGTGCAGAATTTCCTTAATTTAGGTTCTTGAGATGCAAGTTGCAAGTTGCACACGTGACCAGATTATCGTCGAGGAATTTACGGCAATCAGGATCATATCCCGGAAATAGTTTGCGTTAAATTAATTTATATTCCCCTCAGGCGATCATTTCCCGCTGCTTGTTAAACTCATTTCCAAGATAATGTCATTACTTGACCTGCTTTCGTTGGGAACAGCGCTCATTACGTGTGTGTGTGTGTGTGTGTGTGTGTGTGTGTGTGTGTGTGTGCGTGCGTGCGTGCGTGCGTGTGTGTGTGTGTGTGTGTATGTGTGTGTGTGTGTGCGTGTGTGTGTGTGTGTGTGTGTGTGTGTGTGTGTGTTTGTTTGTGTATTTCTTAGTTCATTTGTTCTTTGGGTTTGCATGCAGGAAGCCTAGCATAATGAATTATATTCATTACTTTCAATGGAAAGTAAAATATTTGAAGTTTATGTTAAATCATACATTTTCTGAGTCAGTATTGCTTTAAAAGAAAACGAAAAATCCTTAAGGGTAACTAAGGATTTATACAAGATCTTGCTCCAGTTTTCTTCGTTTTGTAGGTATTCCCATAGGCATAGGAGCCAGGGGGGCTGGGGGGGGGGGGGAGGAGTCGGGTAAATGCTGGTTGAATTCGGGCAATTTTGGGCAGGGGCGTAGATAGGGAAATTCATAAAGGGGGCGAGAAATGAAGATATCCCGACAAAAATTTGACACTAATTCTCAATTTTTATTATTTTGAACATAACACAAGGCCACTAGAACTAAACGAAACAGAAAACCCATCGTTATTTTCCCGACAAGTGCAGAAATTTTCCGACAAAATGGCAGTTTAGCCTTATAGGTGGGTTTTCGCACCCCCCCCCCCACCCCTCTATCTACGCCACTGGTGGCATTCATCACAGATTTTCTGGCAAGTGAAATTCTCTTCCTCTTTCACTCGGGCAGAAAATTTGCACCCCCCCCAAAAAAAAAAGAAAAAAAAAAAAAAAAAATGCCCAAACGCCGATGGGTATTCCCAAATATTTTTTTTGTTTCGCTTTTTTTTATCACTACATATCTATCAAATTATCTGCCTACCCATCTAGCAATCTAGCTATCTATCTGCCAGCATATCTATCTATCTATCTATATGAAAGAAATGTAAAATCAAATAATGAATACACGTATGTGTTTATTTGAAACATATATTACACGAATACACTCTGTGAGTGTGTGTGTGTGTGTGTGTGTGTGTGTGTGTGTGTGTGTGTGTGTGAGTGTGTGTAAATGAGTATGTGTGTGTGTGTGTGTGTGTGTATGTGTGTGAGTGTGTGTGAGTGAGTATGTGTGTGTATGTGTGTGTGTGTGTGTGTGTGTGTGTGTACATGGTGCAGTGAGAGTTCATGTGTGTGTGTGTTTCTGTAACTA